ACGCAAGCGCGCACGCGCACGCACGCACGCACGCATACACACGCACGCACGCACGCACACACACAAACACAACAATCACGCAGCACACCATACCGCACCCACAGGGGGGGTGACAGGCACACATGTGCCCAAACCACCACACCACAGCACAACACCACACCACGCCACACCCATAGGGGGGGGCGGAGGGACACGCACGAACGCACGCACGCACGCGCGCAAACCACCACACCGCCACACCACGCCACACCCACCGGGGGGGGGGCGGGGGGACACGCATGCACGCACGCACGCACGTGCGCAAACCACCACATCACACCACAGCACATCACAGGGAGGGTGGCACCCATCATGCGAAGGGGGGGGGCTGGACACCATGCCATCTGGTGGGAGGGAGGGGGGGTAGGGCAGACCCTGGACCATATATGATCCAGGGTTGTGCCCCACCTGCCCAAATGCATGTGGAATCGAACGCCCCCCCCGCTGAATAAGTACGCTCGTGAGCCTCGCGGGGGCCTCCCGAATGATATCGCTCCCCCCCCCTGTGGGCGTGGCATGGTGGAGGTTTCCGGTGCCCCTCTTTCGCCCCCTGTGGGTGTAGGGTGGTTCGTCGTCATCGTCGTCGTCGTCTTCGGATGGGTCGTCATCTTCGGCGGGCGTCGGCGTCGACGTCGGCGCCTGCGTCGTCGTCGTCGTCGTCATCGTCGTCGTCGTTGCCGTCGTACTTTATGGCGTTGGCGTCGTCGTCGTCGTCGTCGTCGTCGTCGTCATCTTCAGTCGGCGCCTGCGTCGTCGTCGAAATGGTCGTCGACGTCATCGTTGCCGTCGTAGTTGTTGACGTCGGCGTCGGTGTCGGAGTCGGCGTCAGCGCCGGCGTCGTGATCAGCGTCGTCGTCGTCTTCGGTCGGCGTCGGCGTCGGCGTCGGCGCCTGCGTCTTCGTCGTCGTCGTCGTAAACGTTGCCGTCGTAGTTGTTGGCGTCGGCATCGGCGTCGGCGTCGGCGTCGTCGTCGTCATCTTCGGTCGGCGTCGACGTCGGCGTCGGCGCCTGCGTTGTCGTTGTCTACGTCGTCGTCGTCGTTGCCGTCATAATTGTCGTCGTCGTGGTCGTCGCCGTCTTCGGCCGGGAGGTCATCTTCGGCCGGCGTGGGCGTCGGCGTCGGCGCCTGCGTCGTCGTCGTCGTCATCATTGTCGCCGTTGCCGTCGTAGTCGTTGACGTCGGCGTCGGCGTCGGCATCGGCGTCATTATCGTCGTCGTCGTCATCTTCAGTCGGCGTCGGCGTCGGCGTTGGCGCCTGCGTCAGCGTCGTCGTCGACGTCGTCGTTGCCGTCGTAGTTGTTGACGTCGGCCACGGCGTCGGATCTGGCGTCCACGTCGGTGCCTGCGTCGTCGTCGTCGTCGTCGTCACCTTCAGTCGGCGTCGGCGTCGGCGACTGCGTCGTCGTCGACGACGTGGTCGTCGTCGTCGTCGTTGGGGCGATCGTAGTTGTTGAAGTCGGCGTCGGCGTCGGCATCGGCGTAGGACATTGTCGTCGTCGTCTTCGGTCGCCGTCGGCGTCGGCGTTGGCGCCTGCGTAGTCGTCGACGACGTGGTCGTCGTCGTCGCCGTCGTAGTTGTTGGCGTCAGCGTCGGCGTCGGCGTCGGCGTCGTCGTCGTTTTCGGTCGGCATCGGCATCGGCGTCGGCGTCGGCGTCGTCGTCGTCGATTTCGTCGTCCTCGCCAGGTCGTTCTCGGCTGGCGTCGTCGTAGTTATTGGCGTCGGCGTCGGAGTCGGCGTCGGCGTCGGCGTCTTCGTCGTCGTCGTCGTCTTCAGTCGGCGTCGGCGTCGGAGCCTGCGTCATCGTCGTCGACGTCGTCGCCCTCGTCGTCGTCGGTCGGCGTCGGCGTCGGCATCGGCGCCTGCGTCGTCGTCGTCGACGTCGGCGTCGTCGTTGCCGTCGTCGTTGTTGGCGTCGGCGTCCGCGTCGGCATCGGCGTCGGCGTCTGCGTCGTCATCGTCGTCTTTGGTCGGCGTCGGCATCGGCGTCGGCATCGGCGTCGGCGCCTGCGTCGTCGTCGTCGACGTGGTCGTCCTAGTTGCCGTCGTAGTTGTTGGCGTTGGCGTCGGCGTCGACGTCGGCGTCGGTGTCGGCGTAGTCGTCATCGTAGTGCATTTTCGGTCAGCGTCGGCGTCGGCGTCGGCGCCTGCGTCGTCGTCGTCGACGTCATCGTTGCCGTCGTAGTTATTGGCGGCGGCGTCGGCGTCGGCGTCGGCGTCGTCGTCGTTGTCATCTTCAGTCGGCGTCGGCGTCGGAGCCTGCGTCGTCGTCGTCGACGTGGTCGTCGTCGTCGTCATTGCGGTCGTAGTTGTTGACGTCGGCGTCGGCGCCAGCATCGGCGTCGGCCTCGGTGTCGTCGTCATCTTCTGTCGGCGTCGGCGTCTTCGTCTTCGGTCGGGGTCGGTGTCGGCGCCTGCGTCGTCGTCGTCGAAGTCGTCGTCGTGGTTGCCGTCGTAGTGGTCGACGTCGGACTCGGCGTCGTCGTCGGCGTCAACGTCGTCAACGTCGTCATCTTCGGTCGGCGTCGTCGTCAGCGTCACCTTCAGTCGGCGTCGTCGTCGTCGACGCTGTCGTCGCCGCTGCCGTCGTAGTTGTCGTCGTCGTCGTCGTCGTCGTCGTCGTCATCTTCGGCCGGTCGTCATCTTCGGCTGGCACCAGCGTCGGAGCCTGCGTCGTCGCCGTCGTCGTCGACGTCGTCGTCGTTGCCGTTGTAGTTGTTGGCGTCGGCGTCGGCGTCGGCATCGGCGTGGTCGCTGTCGTCGTCGTCGACATCTTCAGTTGGCGTCGGCGTCGGCGTCGGCGACTGCGTCGTCGTCGACGTGGTCGTCGTGGTCGTCGTCGTCGTCGTCGTCGTCGGTGCGGTCGTAATTGTTGACGTCGGCGTCGGCGTCGGCATCGGCGTCGGCGTCGGTATGGTCGTCATCTTATGTCGGCGTCGGCGTCGTCTTCGCCTGCGTCATCGTCGTTGACGTCGTTGCCGTCGTAATTAGTTGTTGGCGTCGGCGTAGGCGTCGGCGTCGGTGTCGGCGTCGGCGTCGGCGTCGGCGCCTGCATCGCCGTTGTCGTCGACGTTGTCATTGCGTCCTAGTTGTCGTCGTCGTCGTCGTGTCGTCGTTGTCGTCGTCGTCGTCGTCTTCACCGTCGTCGTCGTCGTTCTCGTTGCAGTCGTAGCTGTCGGCGTCGGCGTCGGCGCCTGCGTCTTCGTTGTCGACGTCGCCGTTGCCGTTGCGGTTGTAGTTGTTAGCGTTGTCGTCGTCGTCGGCGTCGTCGTCGTCATTTTCGGTCGGCGTCGGCGTCGGCGTCGGCGCCTGCGTCGTCGTCGTCGACGTCGTCTCGTCGTTGCCGTCGTAGTTGTCGGTGTCGGCGTCGGCGTCGTCGTCGTCGTCGCCTTCACCATCGTCGCAACCGTCGTCGTCTTCACCGTCGTCGTCGTTGTCGTCGTTGTCGACGTCGTCGTCATCGTCGTCGTCGTTGCCGTCGTAGTTGTTGGCATATGCGTCGACGTCGACGTCGTCGTCTCCACCGTCGTCGCCGTCGTCGTCGTCGTCTTCGTCGTCGTTGTCGTTCCCCCACCCATCCCATCGAGTGGGGGGGGACTGTGAACCCTCGACCAAGGATCATATAGGGACCCAGGTCGAGGGTTCACACGCCCACCGCCACAGATGAGATGGGTCCCGCGGTTCACAGGCCCTCCCCTCCGACCCTCCCCATGATGGAATGCGGGGGACGACGGCGACGACGACGACGACGGCGACGACGACGGGCGACGGCGACGGCGACGGGAGACGACGACGACGATTTCGACGACCACGTTACGTCCACAGGGCCACGACCACGGGAGGGGGACGACGACAACGACGACGACGACGACCACGATGACGACGACGGCGGCGGCGGCGACGACGATGACGACGATGACGACGACGATGACGACGACGCTCACGACGACGCTCACGACGACGACGATAACGGCGACGGCTTCGGCGACGACCGCGCCCACAGGGTCTCGACCACAGGGGGCCCGAAGGCATCAGAATGAGGGTCGGAGGGCCCGGAACGCTGGATCATATCTGGGGCGACCGTGCCTCGGACGAGGATGCGCTATGATCCGCGCCTCCTGGCGCAAAATGATCCTGGCCGTCTGGCCTGCGGGTCCACACCACAGCACAGGGCTCGACCAAACAGTGCTTTTCGGTTTTGCTCTGTCTCCGTTTTCCCTCGTCTTGTCTCCGATCCGCCTCTCTGCTGCAGAACGCAGTCGAAGCGAAAACGGCCCACGAGATCGCCATAAAACCGTTCCGGTCGACCCCTGGCCTGCGGGCCACCACTCGGGCCTCCCGCGGCCGTTCGGGACGACTCCGGCCTCCTCGGAGCGCTCCCGGCCAGGCGCAGCTGCTGGAGAGCACCCCGAGGGCTGGCAGAGCGCAGGAGGCCCACGGACCCCCTGCGTCCGACCCGGGGGGCGGAGGCCGCAGACGTCCTCCGATGGGACCCTTGCAGTCCGTGGCCCCGAAGCTCCCGACCCCCGCCCCAGGTCCAGTTCTCCGCCCGGGACGCAGTTTCGATGGCCCGGGGGGCTGGACAATCGGTCCCTGGAGGCCGAAACTTCAGTCGGGCCTGTCCCTCTACAGGGGGACTGTTCAAAAATAGTCCAAACATAGTCCGGGGACTATTTTTGGAATCTGGTTTGAGTTCTTTTTATGTTTCGTCGAAACTCCCCCTGCAGGGGGACACGCCCGACTTGAGCCGAAACCGAGGAAGCACGCCTGGATTGAACACATCGGATGGCTTGCGATCTGGGGCGGGGTGCTCCTCCTCCTCCTCCTCCTCCTCCTCCTCCTCCTCCTCCTCCTCCTCCTCTGCCCTGGCTCCTGGCGCCTCCGGCCCTCCCCTCCGCGCAGCGCCCCGCCGAGCAGCGAGCCTCTCCTCATGGGCCAGGGGGCGCGCGCGCGCGGGGGGCCTTGCCCAGCTCCGCGCTCTCGCAGCGCACCTCCTGCGCGAGGCGAGGCGGGCAGCGAGGACGGGGGATGCCGGGGGGGGGGGAGACCACTCTACTCAGGGGGGGACGTAAGACCTGGGTACAGGGGACTCGGAAATCCCCGACGAGGTCGTCAAACAATTGACGAGGCCGAGCCTGCATTTTGACGAGGCCTCCCGCTGCAGACATCCCACGAAACTCCTCCTCGTCAAAATCCGAGGCGCGGTCGTCAAAAACGATGGCGAACCCGAGTCCTGGCAAACCCGGGTCTTACGCTCCCCCGATCTACCTGCTGTTTCCATCCGGGCGTCTCTCCTCGATTCCGGCCCCTGGCCCTGCTGCCGGGCCCCAGGACCAGCAAAAATGCGGCGTCCAGGGCGGAAGGCTGCCCTGGGGAAGTGGTCGGGACCTCCGGGGCCGCGCATCGAGCACAACCATGTCTCGGTGGATGGCAGGGGAGGGGCTGGAAACAATACGGCCTCGCGTCGTGGATCACATCACGTCGTCTTGTCCGTTGAGGTTCCCTCGCCCGACCTTGTCCGCCCAATAGGTCCGGCCGCCCGACCCGGCCCGACCCGCCTGACAGGGTTTGGCCGCCCGGCCCCGACGCGCCCACCCGAGTCACGGGTGCACCCCGAAGGGAGCAGTTGTTTCAAACGGGGGTGCTGCCACAGCAGAGTGCTGTTGCAAAAGTGCGCCTGCCATTCGTACAGTCATGAGAAAAACGGAGCGACGGCGAGATGAAGGAGGTGGTGGAGCATGAGGAAGGGGGGAGCAGGGAGGAGGAGGAGGGCGGGACGAAAAGAGGATGCCAAAAGCATGCCTTCGGTTGAAGCTCTTGGGAAAAAAGTATTGGAAGGCCCCAGACCTGCGCGTGCACGTCTTGGAGGCATGCGGGGCTGGTCTCAGAGGCAAGCAGCAGTGATAGGTTCGACATGTGTCATGCGATTTCAGATTTATCGCCTTTCTGTCTTCAGAATCTCCCGAAGGACCGACGTGCTCATCGCCCCAAGTTGACCATCGCGCACCCAGGAGGGAATCCAGAGATATCCCAAGATCGTCGACAGAGGCCCCCCGAAGGGGAGCTCGCAAGGCCCCCAGGAGAGCCATGCCTGTCAGACTCTCTAGAAGTCCCCAGAGGTCTCCAGAGGACCCAAAAGAAGAGGCCCCCGATGCCTCCATAATCGCCCCGATGCCTCCACGGGCCATCGCTCGGACGTCCATTCCGTGTGTTTTTATCGGCATCGTGCGTGGTTTTTTCGCCAAATGATCAAGGATGCTCCTCGATGGTCCTCGCCGAAGGAGAAATGCACACGTCCGAACGATGCCACGTCCAATGGGACCACTGAATCATCCCAGAAGACTTCGGAGGAGGCCCCTGGGAGGCCTCTGGCACGGTGGCGGGAAGGACCGACGGGCAGCTGTCGGGACGCTGCTCGGGACGGGGAAGAAAAGGCGCTGCTCGGGACGGGGAAGAAGAACAGCGAAACACACACACACACAACGCTCGGGGACGCGCTGACCCGGCTCGGCGCAAGCCCAGGCCGCGCATTGAACAGAAACCACACGGGTGGACGTCGGGGCATACGAGTCGCCGATCTTGAACCTCCACGTGTCCCAGAATTGATGTGGGTCCCCAAGGCCGCTCCTCTTCCTCTCTCCTTGCCCTGTCGCCCTCCTGCTGGTCAGGCAGGTGCCGTCTTGTCTGGACTCCAGGCCCCCTGAATGCGATCGGCCACAACTTTCGGCAGCACACGTTCGCACGCTCCGAAACAAAAACAACACCCCAAGGGCACCCATCGTGGGGAAGGTGTGCCTCCGCGTGGCCCTTGCCAGCAAGCTGGTGCCTTGCTTGCTGCGCACTGCTGTGCCCGGGCACCCACATCGGAATCCCACTGCTGTGCCGGGGCTCGCCCGAGAAGGGTACCGCACGGCATACAAACGTTGCCCCAAACGGACAGCGACCGCTGTGGGGCACCCGGCTTTTCGTCCCGCGTGGGCCACGTCCGAGGCGACGCGGAGAACGACTCCTGCTCAATGTGGGCAGGGACTGCAGCCGAGGGGCATCCAAGAGGGGGGCGTCCAAGACAGGGGGGGGGGGGGGGGGGGCAAGGAGCGCACTGGAAGCCGCGGGTGGGTGGGCCCCCCCCAAAAAAGCTGGCCCCGCATGGGGCCTTGTGCACAGAGGGCCACAGAGGAAGCGGCTACGCGCGCGAGTAAGACCCTCTGTTACATCTGACGTCCCAGCTTTGCTCCCCTCGCCCCGCCGCATGACGACGGCGGATCGAGGCACCGGGCCCTCGAAGGGCCTTGCCCCTCACGCCGCCTCTGCGAGATCTGGGGAGATGTCACTGCCCCCGCCATGATGCCCCCCCCCCCCCAGAGCCGTACCCCCCGTCTCTGCCGTCCCCGGCGAGATGGGCAGGGACTGCTGCCTGCCCTCGTCCCCGCCGCCTCCCGCGCCCTCTCCGACCGCGGCGTC